TTGAGACTACTACTCTATTTGCTGGAAATGTTTAGCTATTTACGTGTTTGTAAAATGCAATGAGAAGCTGAAAGAGAAGTAGGTCCTTGTTTCCTTACTTACCTTGTTACCAAGATGATTTTTACAATGCTCTTGAGGACTTCAGTCCTTATTTTTCAAATAAACACGCTATCTTGCAGCAAAGTAAGTAACACTTCCTTAAACTGTTCATGCGCAAGGTCTGTTGACAGTGCTATTGGAAAAATTAATGATGCAGTATTTTTCTTTTTTTTTTCCTCCCCCCCCCCCCCCCGCAAAGGCTTTGGGAGTTTCCAGTCAAAATGACCGATCAACAATAAAGAAAAAAATTAAGGATATTAGAAAAACACAAGAAAAACTGGAAAAGCAGAAGGAAAAGGTTCAAAAGAAGGAGAGAGAAGTTCGTAAGACTGGCAGAGTGGTAGCCACTCTTGAATCAAGCTGCTAAAATGACCTTGTTTTATTTTAGCGCAGACTTGCTTCATCTTGAGGAAGTTCAGCAGATTTGTATATAATTGTACAATTGAGGGAGGAGGGAAAGTGCAACAGTTTAACATGGTAGGTGGTTTTTTATTTTTAATCATAGTCCCTCCCTATTACAATGCAATAAAATGAAATGTTTTCAGTATTTTTATTCCTAGTTGACTCTGCCTGTACTAATAGACAATAATTTAACTTTCTGCCTTAAATAATATTTGTGCTTCTAAGACCTCATATGCCCTTTTCATTGAAATTGATGTTTGTGAAAAGTAGAATACTGTATTAAAAATCATTCCAATATTAGTCAGGTAGCATTTGATAGAGTTGAATCTGATAGAGGGACAATAGAAAAATCCTGCCAACAAATTTTTCTGTGACAGTCTGTTTATTTGTTGCCACTAAAGATGTATAGTAAAAATTAAGTTTAAGAAAATGGTAATGTCAAATTAATTTAAAAAGAAAGCATGTATTTCAAATTTATGGATTATTGTTTAAATTCTTGTATTTCTGGGATTTTCATTCAAAGTTCACTGTAGTCACACATTGTTTCTGAATTCTGTGTGTTGCAATTTACTGAGAAAATAACAAGAAATATCAAGTAGTTTTCACAAACTACATTTTCTAAGCATTAATATTAAGCTTTTCTGTACACTTACCTATATGGTGTTGGGACAAGGTTTAAACCTATAAATAAGATCTTTTTTAACCTATTTTTCCTAAATAATACATAGTTTTATAGATCTATGGTATGAATAAGATCAATTTGCAATACATGTATTTCTCTTTTCTACCTGCTACAAGATTTTTGCGGACCAAATCTATATATTTGCTAATTTTAAACTATACTGTTTTTCAAACTTAAAATATTGAGGGAAGAATTGTAGGAAAAATTATCACTGAAGCACTGGGTTTCTGCATTGTATTTAAATGTTCAATTGTAGACTACAGATTATTTCTCTTTAAAGGAGGATTTGATTCTCAGAATAGTTTAGAACACAAATTGGTGTTTTGTATATTCACATACTATTTTCTAGAGATACTACAACAGCACTTCCTTTGATAAGATTATTCCAGAAACATAGAACAGTTTAAAGATCAATTCCAACATAGAATAGAACAAAACTTACATAATTCATTTATGTGGACCAAGTTCTCCTTTAAATCTATGGACTGTTTTTCATTTTAATTAAATGAACTTCACTGTTGGTGTTTCACAGTTGTTATTTTTTTGTATAAATGTCTTATGAATTTCAGCAAAAGGACTGTATGGAAATGCTTCTGCACATTATGCATTTCCAAAATAAAGTTTTAAAATCTTGGTAATAATTACTTTTAAAAAGAGGTTCAGTTTTCAGTTTTGTGCATTAAGAAACAATTCTTTGGTGAAGATTTAACTTATTTACTTTGTTTCCAGTAGCTTTGAGTTTGTACTCCAAATTTACAGACCTTGAGCCAGAGAGGAATGCTGCTGTACTGATAAAAGAGAAGGGAAATTAGAAGTGCGGAATGGTCAAATGCTTGGGATCACAGACACAAAACTACCCTTCGATTAATTCAGTCATGGAAGCTTATTTCTCAGTTAAGTGCTTTCAGCTAGAATGGAGAATATTGATACAACTGTGTATTACCTTTTTTCTTTAAGCTCACTGAACTGAATGTTGCACCCTGTGAAGAGTTTGTTTCTCAGAAAGGAGACTAGTGGAAGTAATGGTTTCAAAGGTTTGCCTGTATGCAGAGCTGTTGTAGTTAAAAGGGGCTATAGCAGGGGTGATAAACTCACCTGGCACCTGAGCATAAGAACATTGATTATCACAGACCACAGCATTTAACACCTGTCAGATGCTAAATGGGAAGGCTGGCTCCATGGAACTAGCTTAGTACCAGGCCACAAAATCACACAACTGGAAGTTTAATTTTTAAAATAGTTTTAATGAATATATATAGTGATTCTTTCAAAAAATGAAGTTAACACAAACAAAGATTATTTTTACAGTGCAAGACTGAGCTCATTTGCATACAAAACTATTAATCTCAGCATTTTGGTAGCTGAGCTAGTATACGAATTTTCTACAGTGATTTACTTCAACTTAACCAGTGTGCTAGCAATGACTTCGGTACAGTAATGGAAATCTTAAAACACACAAATTATCTTCTGAACTTCTATTTAAGTCAAAAGTAATCAAAGACCAAACTTCTAAGTAGGATTAAACATTGTAAACCAAAATATTACAACACTTGTGTTTTCGCCACATATCATTTGGGGTGGCAGGTGGGGACATAGATACAAATATAATTATATAGCAAGTTGTTCTATTCGGAATTCAATCAGTAGCTAGCTGAGAGCATGAAAGAGGTTTTATTTCAATAATACCGTAAGAAATGCTTTCATAAATGTTCTAGAAAACAAAACTGCATTAGCTTTTCTTCAGTAACATCTCCTGTAGTTCTCAGGTATTACTAAAATAAGTTCAATTACATTAGTTAAACTTTTGAAACTTAGCATAAAAGCTAAAATGTTCAGCTTCAGAGTTGAGTTTTTAAAATCCCTTGCTGTAACTTTCAGCTTTAGTTTAGCAAAAGCATCCCCTCTAACTTTTGTACAGGCCCCATTTTACACTGTGGAATTTCACACATACATCCTCTTGCGGGGTTGAAGAAGAGATCAACTATAGATTCTCCTCACTTGTAGCCATGCAGCTTGAAAGGTATGCCAGTCACCACCTCACATCCTTGTAAAGAAGAAAAATAGGGACCTCTCAAAGTGCCCACAAGTTTGAGTGGAGCAGGTAACTGTACTGTTCTTAGTGGCAATTAAGATAGAATAATCCTCTCAGAGTGTCAGTTTAACTATGTATGTAGCCCATTCTGTAAATCACTCCTGTTAAAGTGACCTACATTAGCTTGACTAGGGTATAAAACCATTTTATTGTTTTGCAGAACTCAGCTAGGGAGGTAATAGGTGATAATTTTTAATCTGGCTCAGCTACAACTACAACAGCATGACTTAAATTTCTAACATACCAGCTATTCCCTTCACTTGTGGTGGTATCTCACTTTCTGATCTGTGCAGAGCTAGTAAACTAGTAAAATTTAGGCTTATCCTTTCTGAGAGGGATTATGCATGTCTGCTGCAGAACAAAAATCACAGAATTACAAACAATGAATTCATTGAGAAAAGGATTAGTTCTCAGTGCCTTTGACTGCATCACTCCTAAAATGTTCAGGAATGACAGGGATCAAGGTGCAACATAGATGTGTAGGATTTGAACAAAGATGGCACGATAGGCATTAACAGAAGTTGAATCCTTTATTAAAAGAATGACTTTGTACCTGAAATGTAATACTTATTCCCCTCTCTGTCTTCCCCAGTATGTTTTGACAGTTTGCCTTTTGACTGATAAACACATTGTGCTTACCTTATTTATGTTATAGTGTGACTTCCAGTTACTACATAAACGAGTCCAGAAGTACATTAGCAATACAAAGGTATTTTCAAAAACTGTTAATTCCACTTTCTCTTAAATACTCCCGAGAAGGTAGCTGCTACTGTCAAAGTAATAGAGATGTCCTATTACGGGCAAATTTTAAAAATCTGTTTATTAAAATAGCTTCCATTTACAGCTGTAACCTGACATACCCGAGTCTTGAGATCTTACTAGGGCTAGAATATTGATACTGCATTTTGGTATTACCTACAGAAATATACGCAAATGCGAGACAGCATATCTTGACTGTACACAAGCCAATGCTATTGCTAATTCACAATGATCATGGCAAGATAAGTTTTTCACATGTATTAAATATTCACATTAAAACCAGAGAAATATGACTGATACCACATACCTGAGATACATTATACCAGCAGTAGCAGCTAGAACTGATTTTTTTTAATCCTTACAGACCTAAGTGATGTCTACAGCTGCAAAAAGCCTTGATGTAGGCAAGGTGTGTAGGCAACATATCTAACCTTGCAAAATTAGACTTCAGCGTGCTTAAGATAAAAGAATATAAAATGCCATATGGGTGCAAAGGTATAGCAATGAGCGCCTCAGTATTTCTTACATGAATTTTTCATTAATCTGTAATATTGTATAATGGGAGAATGCTCTGGTGAGCTTTTTCAATAGTTCTACTATTAAAACAATTTTGTAATTCTAAGAATTAATACTTTTCTCCCCAGATACGATATTGATTGCATTGGTCCCTATAAAACCTGAAATTACTGCTCCCTTGACTTAGCTACTTGAAAGTAGTCATAAATAGAAAGTAGAACAAATTAAGTGTGTCCTTCTCACTTAAAATTTAAAAGTATGTACAGGTTTGGGGGGTTTCTTGTTTGTTTTTTTCTTAATTCCAGAAAAGAGTAATTACATTAAACCTTCTGTTACTCCACTTAAAATTACTTTCACATATCAAATGTGGCTCAGCATCTTGGTGTAAATCAGATCTTTTAAATTCCCTTTACAGACATACCTACTTCTTACGAACTGTTGAGGAAAAAGCTATATACTGCGAAAAGTGGTCATGTCCTTTGGCTCACTGCTTGGCACACACCAATCATCTGCTTCATGGTTTGCTTTATAATGTTTCCAGGCTGCTTTGTTGTATACAGGGAGTCTTTCAATTGATTCTGTTGATAAGGCCTGTAAGTAGAGAAGATTGTTGCTGATGATTCTTTTTAATCAAAGTTCTACTAACAAAACAAGGAGTTCCATTAGCAGTTAGATTAGAGTTGCTGATAAATCTAAAATGATAAAGTGTTACATCATACCTTTATGTAAATAACTGCATCTGTACCATAGCCTTCTAAGGAATACAGTTTCAGGTCTCCTTGGAAGTACTGTGCGTACAGACGTGATATGGGTAAGCCATAACCAAATCCAGCCTGATCCAGGAGAAAAAGTGTATTTTCATTAATTGCATCCATCAGTGCTGTTTTCTATTTTAACTTCATAGGTAACTAGACAAACTAAGCATGACGTTTGGCACTAAGAGAAGGAGTTCAAGTGTTAACTGTTATGCCCCCCAGAACCACTATACACCCCAGAAACGGAAGAATGCATGGATGATTGTGATTATGAGAAAACTGTTCTATTCCTTTGTCAGACAGGGCTGCTACGTAACACTTCTTGTATTATGGTAGCTTTTTCAAGAAGATGACATCATTAGAGAAAACTGTACTGAGTCTGTCTTATGCCTCATGGAGCTGCTAATCTTAAGAACACCAAGTACTTAAGTCAGATACTGTATATATAAAAAAGGTCCAAGAAGCAATGTGTATGAATTTGTAGCTTATACTAAAATTCTGTCACGCCCTGTCTGCAGTAGCAGGACACAGCCCTGAAGTGTTAAGTATAATTTTATCTACTAAATTTTAGAGGTAATCTCTCAATGAACATACACAGTTCTCTGTAAAGATCTAGTGTTTAGTGAGTAGCACAATTACCTAGATGCAGAACATTATATACATTTAAAAAACATATTTTGATTGATGCAATATGAGAGAAGAAAATCAGGAAAGCTGTTCAGAGCTTCTTACTGAGAGCTAAGGCTTTATTTCTTGTGCATCTATTAAGTTCACACGAGACCAAAGTAGATTCTCAATATGCCATGACACATCTGCATACCTTCATCCTTGCTGGGGCATAGTACAACTACCTACACAGTGCAAATGGAATGATGGACTTGATCCGAAACCATTGCTATAATTACTTTTCCTTTCATTCAGTGGCCACAACAAGAATTCAGAGTCCTGTCCTTACTACAGTACGTGCAGCATAGCTAAGTGTTCTGTTTGAGGTAGCTGGTCTTTATATTTGGTAGAGAAAAACAGAAACTTGAAAAAGTTTAAATAATTTTTAGTATTTTAGGATTTTATGCAATTTTCCAGTTATTTTCAGAAATATATTTAAACTATAACATTGAAATGGCAATACTCATTGTATCTATAAAATCAGTACTTCATAGCTTTGACTATATGGTTTCTTTTGTGACAATGAAAACATATCCAAGGTGACAAGGTATAAAAGATTTGCATACCAAAGGTGTAGCTCGTGATGTCTCAACACGTGGACGTGGTGCTGTTGAATACATGTAGTTGAATAGTCTGTCAATTTTCCTCATAGGAACACCTCCACCACGATCACTCATCTGGAACAAGAAGGAACATGTAGCATTATGTCCCTGAATGTATTTTTGTAAAAGACAGCTTCTCTCAATGATCCAGAGCGAGTTCAGGTAAAACATAGGATAAAGTTGCCCCTATTAAATTATGGGTTTTCTTAAATTCTCATCTCTCAGCTACAGCAATGACCAGAGAAAGATGAATCCTTGCCGTTCATTTAAATAAAATACTACCCTAAGAAGCATTCATAACCTCTTGGAAGTAAGAAAATTCTACTTAAATTGTGCATTGCTTTTATCTTGTTCATAACTCAATTTTGTCTGAAGTCAGTATCTATACCTCATAGCAAAGGCCAAATTCTGTGTGTTTTTATCTTTACTCCTCAGGAACAGTGCCAATTAGATACAATCTATTAAAACCTATTACTGAAGGAGTAAGTCAGAAGAGTTGTTTTACTATGGTTTAGCTAGACCTATGAAAAGCCAGTGCTTGCAGTTGGTCTTTGAAATCCAACATGGATGGTGTACAGAAAAAGAAGAAATTACTCTGCAAACCGTACTTTAGGGAGGTTTGATTTGCATGGAATATACAATGTTTGTTTCCCTTTTTTTAATTTGTCTCACACCAGTATAGCTCTGCCATTGTCATGTACAAAATACTGGTATTACAATTGTATAAAGATGTTACTTCATTTTTAGTCTTGGTTGCTAATAAGCTAGGCAAGACATGCGTGTGACAAAAGCATAGAATTAGATTGCAGAGCCTTCAGTGTGACTGTGCAACGTCTTCATACATCTCCTACTGATGCACTACATGATATTCCATAATGGTCTTGTTAGTACATACTGCATCATCGCATACAATCTATTGTTGGAACCAGATCACCAGCTAAAATTAGTAATATGCTGCCTACAACAGGGGAAAAAAACTAATCAAAATAATCTTCAAAATAATCAAAAAAGTGGGTACCTTCACAGTTAAATCCTCATTTCCCAATGTGACGTGTACATGAATAGGAGGATAAATGCATCCATCAGCATTATGTTCCATGGTGGCTCTCATTGCATTCTGCAATTTTCAAGTACAACTTAAATCCTGTTCTTACCGCTTTGTATATTATCTTAAAACATCAATTTAGGAAAGTTATTTTTATCATGTATTTCAGAATCAGGACAAATGCACGTATATAGTTTTAGAATATTTTATCTATTCCTGGTTTATCCAGTCTTAGTATTTATATAGTTTATTAGAATACACATGCTTCAAATATTTAATTTTTTTAGAACAAACATCTGAATATTTTAATGTACAGTTTTATTTGTGGAATTCTTTGTAATGCATCGTACATGCAATATGACACAAAGGTCAAAAAAAGTCTAGGATTGAACTGCTTCAGGAAAGCTCTATAGGACCTGTTACACATTATACCAGAGTTGCAGATGTCCCAAAAATTCGGTATCTTATTCTCACTTGCTTTATTAATGTCTTTATACATTTTAAGATTTTCTGACGAAGCTATCTACTCAGAAGGTGTCAGATGTATTCAGAGGCTAGGCAAAGCAGATACATCTTCCAAAGCTGTTCATTTTCTATGCAGTTACTGTTTGTCTAACTAGCACGATTTAGGTATCTTCCCGTAGTCAAATAGCGAGAGGTTTGCACTTGCAAAAACATACTGATATCTAGAATTGGTACAAAAAGTCAAACAAATACAACCTCAGTAAACAAAGATGTATCAAAGAATTGTGTAATGGTAAGTGCACAGACCTTGAAAAGTTCAAAAACCATGTGATAGAGATGTGATGGCACATACACCACTTGCATAGGCTGTCCTGGTGATTTAGCTGGAGAAAAGAGAGTCTAAATAATTAAATAGGTAAGTAAAACGAGGTATCTTTTATTCATTCAAGCAGTAATTCAAAATGTATATTTGTATTGTTGAGAGAATTTACAAAAGAAGGAAAATTTGAACAGAAATCTTTTGAGAAGTTGTATGTTAATCAAAAGTCATACTCAAGATTTTCAAATGTGCTTGCTGCTTTAGAAATTAATCTTAAAACCCACTGTGGCATCACCGATTAGGGTGTACGATAGTTGCTTTCTAATCCTATGAGGAAGTTATCATGAAGATAGAGTCAGGCTCTTCAAGTGGTGGGAGAACAAGAAAAAGTGAGTGTAAGATGAAGTAACAGAGGTTCAGACTAGATACAGAGAAAAACATTTTCACCACAACAGTTAAGCATTGAAACAGGATGCCCAGAGATGTTATCTAGTTGTCATCCTTGGACGATTTGTAAGACTAGACTGGATAAAGTCCTGAGTAACCTGGTCTGACCTCATAGCTGTCCTTGCTTCAAGTAGGATGTCAGGCTAGAAACCTCTTGAGGTCCCGCCCAACCTGAATTATCTTACGATCCTATAATGCACCAAACAGTAACTACAGCACAGCCTACTCTTGCATTCATTTAGAAATTAGCTGATTTCTAACAAGAAACCTTAAAAAAAATTATATAGACAGTTCTGTCTATAAAACTGGTATAGTTTTGGAACTTTATTTAAAGATTAAATTCTAGAAAATATATCATGGGAACACATTCATTGTATCAAAAATTAAGGAAAGGTTGCTCAGAAAATTCTGCTGATTCTTAAGGTTCTTTCAGTTCAACAAATTAATGATTTCTCACCAGACTGTGTTAGTGACCAGTGCTTTATGAACATAAATGTTGGAGACTACTGATGTCAGAAGATCTAGAACAAATTATGTACCCAGAAAAAATAAAAGGGCGCAGGGGGATATCACATTGAAATAATGTCCTCAAGTTAACTGCTTCCTTCCATGCCTCTACCCCCAGATCCCATGCCCAAGGTTTAAATAATGGTCTCCACTCTCAGCTGTGGGCAAGGAATGTGCATTGGGCCTGGATCAGGTTTAACTCGCCTTCACAATTCACTGAGCAAAAGGTCACTCCTTTTATAAAAACTGAACTATTTGTTCTGGCTTCTGGAGCACGTACACCATTAAATGACCCCTCAGTACAGAGAGTTAGCTAGCATGACTGATAGTTTCCTACAAATGTTTTTAGCATCATGCTCCAAAGACAGAGAGAGGCACAGCCTTTAACCTAAATACAGAATGACAGGTTTTGTACAGCAGGAAGAAAAGATCTGGAATGTGTAGTCAAGCCCATACTTTCTTTGCCTTTAGCTTCACAGGCAAAGTTACTGTGGTTGCACTTTGGCTTTCGCAATTGCTTGTAGAAGCAATTTTGATTGCTTGTTTTCATAGGTCTGTCCAAACTTTGCATTTAGTATCTTGAAAAGTACTCTAGCAAGTAGTGTCAGAAAGGCTCTTTAGCATTTAGTAGGACTATGAGGACAATAGGTGACCTCTGAGATCATAGCAATACAGTTGTAAACTGTTTTCTCAAGTCAAAGCCAACGTATTCAAATAATTTTTAGCATGACTTGAGTGTACTACAGCTAATGACAGATACATGATAGCTGAATAAGCAAGAGAAATTAGAACGGAATGTTTAATATAAATCTTGAAAGTGTCACAAGAAATGCAGAGAGGGTGAAATGCAATAGACAGTGTAGGGTAATGACATAAAAGAAACCTTAGGGAGGGAAGGAGGCTGCTAAAATCTGTTATATCAACAGCTCTAGTGTCAAAAACTTTTCTACTGATTTCAGTTTCCCAATTAAAGGGAGGAATAGGGAAAGCCTTCTGCCAGATTTAAACAAAAAAACAAACTATTTACGACAGTAGATATAGAAAACACATTAACTATCTGAAAAGTGGAAGGAGAACATTTTACCACCAACTGCTTTAGAAGAAGCCATCACTACGTTCAACAGAGTGCCTTGTCCCATATTCACTTACCATTCAACTCTTCAAGGATGAGTTCTGGAGAGCTCATGTAATATAAATCACAAAGTCTCTTAGCACTTTCATAGCCATCTATAATAAAAACACAGAAAGTTACATTTCCTTCCTCCACATTTTTTTCCCCCCTTTACAATTTGACAAAAAGAAAAACAAAAATTGAAAACACTGTGCACTGTCAGAGAGATTTTGTATCTTCTCACAAAAACGGTGTTTATAGGGAAAAATGACAAAACTGTGTTACACTTCAAACGAAACTTCTGTTCCAGGTCAGAAAGAACGAAACAGTATATGAATATCAAGATGTGTATTGGCTCTCAGTAGAGACATTCATGTAAGTTTTCAGAATTCTTGTTCTTATCTGCTGAATTTACCTCTAACAACTTCAACAACATTGCAGCTAGGATCAATGCTTCCAATGTGTTTTGGATGAGCTGGATTAATTTTCCCACCAAACAGTAAAGCTGCCAAAAAAGAAAATATTATTTAATACCCAATATAATTTTATTATTTTAGTTTATCTGTTTGGTTTTGCTAAATAGAAATTTATAGGCAATCTATAATTCAAATCTTCACCATGCTTGAAAGCCTACTATTAGTAAATATTTTAAGAACTGTATTAAGAATTTATTTATAAATAGCAAGGCATATAGTGTACTCCTAAGCAGCATGTAAGTACATATTAAGCACTTAAAAATGAAAGGAAAATGTAATGACATAGTACAGGTATCATTTCCCTGCCTTTCAACAATGGCACTTACAGTGTTGATTGAGGAGCATTCTAATTGAAATGCGACTCATGTAGAAACGGTCTAAAAAATACTGCACATTCTGTGAGGTCACTGGATCAATGCCAAAGCTTTCCTTGTACTCTATTACTCCTTGAGCCATCGTAGGAATTACATCGTTGTGTCGATTCCGGATTTTTATCACAGTATCTGTAAAACTTAAATTAATACATTTTTAGTATTTCACTTTCAAGTGAATTTAACATTCTGGCAAGCAAAGTATCTGCCTACAAAAATGAAGGCTGTTATGAACAGAAATATCACAGGTCTGCCTACGGCAGTAAGACAACAGGTCAGTCTTTGCAGTGTATTTCAAGTGACTATCATTGAAACAATCACTAATCAACCATTACTGATTATTTATAAAATTATTATTTATTTCTTTATTCTCTTGATTATTGCCAAGAAAAAGATAAAACTGCGCCAACCATTTTCACGCAGATCATTCCATGCCTATCAAATGGCAGTTATGGTCAGCCAATGATGACCAAACCTACTCTACAGGTGAAAAGTTCCATACATCAGTTCCAACAGTACAAGTAAAGAAATTGGTAAACATCTGGTTAAGTTCAACATATCCATAGCTTCTTCAGTGTAATAAAAAAAAGCCCTGACCAGAATGATACAGCATAAAAAGTGCGTTGTTTCATGTTTTAATGTACCCTCCCTTTAGGAACACGGGGTGGTGTTACTTCAATTCTTATGTAAAGATTGGAGATAACTGAAGTTTTTCTTAAGCTATCGTTTTCTTGCCAGTCCTTCTACATAACAGTAACATAATAGTAACATATATGACAGCAAATCCTTACCTATGAATAGCCCCTGAATCTTCTGAGCTTTTGTCCTTAAAGTCAAGGATCTCCTGAAGACTTTGGACATACCTTTAAAGAAAAGAAACATGACAAAGACCCATTCTAATACGCCTCCCTGGATCCCTTTGGTTAGCAATTTATGGTCTTCCAGGGTTGCTTGTTTCCAAGTTATTGTATCCGATATATCCCAGTGACCTATACCCTGTGAATTTTGTTAGATCCTTTTGAATCTATTCGTGATGTTTTCTTCAAAATTTCCACAGCAATTAATTCCACAATTTAATTAGAATGCATAAAAGGTCTTCCTTGTGTTTTAAACCCAGCAGGTGATCACTTATTTGCAACCCCAACAAGTTCTAGTTACTAGAAAATCTTCCCAGCTCATTCATGATTTAAGTATTTCTGCCATCTCTTTCCTTAGATGTGTGTTTTCCAAGCTGAAGAATTCTATTTGGTTTCTCCTCACATAGAAATTGTTCCAACCCTCTGATTATCCCTCTTGGCCTTTTCTGTTCAGGATGCAGTGACTAAAACTGCATGTAATTCAGAGGAATAATGGGCTAACACAGTGGTACAATTATATTCCTCCCCATTTTTTACTTAGTTTCTAACACTATTTGCCTTCTTATATTCAGGAAAATGTCCCCAGTAGCAACAAAATTTCTTTTTCCATTGTAAGCAAGCAAGCATTCAGGGAGAGGAGGTTCCTGTCCGTGCTCTACTTTGCATTTATCCACCCATTTGATCAATGTCATTTAGTATCATGAGAATTTCAGCATTTGTGTTTCATTAAGAGCCTTCATCTTCATTGATAACTCTTTTTATATTCAGTCATCTAATCAATCCCGCTTATTCACTGGCAGATTTCCTGTTCTCTTTAAAAGCCCTTCCAGATAGCCATGTGCCTTTAGCAGTTGCCAAGCAATCCCTTTGTTCTGCTTTCAACTTACAAAAGTTTATGCTTATGTGTAAGTTCCTTACTTGAAAGCAAATTTTACTTTTCAAAGGATATCTTTTTTTATTTTAATTGCCTAGTATTCTTTCTGTTGTTTTACATATTTTGGCTTTGGGAGGTTCCTATTGCTCTTTCTTCATATTTTCTACACCTTTACTCTTAATCTGCAATAACCTGTCTTTTAAAAGGTTTCTACTATCTTTTGCAAGCATCTTGTGCATTAACCTGATTCTGCTGGTTTCTTCAACTAGCTTCTTCATTTTAGGTAAGTCCCCTATTTAACATTGTTCTGGTGGATTTTTGTTTTTACTGAATTCTCATACATGACTATCTGCAATACTTAGTGATTTTTAATTCCCTTGTGGGTTCTCTAATTGCTCCTAAAGGCTTTTTTCCAAGTCTGTAAAGTTAGTTTCTGACTTATGTCACATTGGAATATTTAATCAATTTAAACAAGAGATGTTCATGTAACAAGCATCTTAAATGTTCTTGCTATAGAATGAGTTGTTCCCCCAACTTGTGTATATGCAGAAGGTCACCCTTAAAGGTATGAAATGACACTGTTCTTACCAGCTCTGCACCAGTTGAACTGAAGGTGTTCTTAAGAGGTTGTCTGGAAGCAGGCTTATTTCCTTCATTATGTTTGCCAATCTCACAGGCAACTCTTGTCTCAGAAACATAAATGAAGTCTTTTCGCAAGCATTTTCAGATCCTAAAACCAAAATAAATATATGAGAACATCAGAATAAAGTCAGTACTTAGGTACAGAACTACACAAACTCTTACTTTCTTGCATAAGAGGTCTGTGGTTTGGTTTTAAAGTTGACTCAGCCAGTCTGGTAAGCCAATATTTCTTTCATGGCAGCAGCCCATTTATATTTCAAAATGTAAACTCATATTGAAACCTACCAGTCCTGTTGCAGTAACTCCTTATATATGGAGGATTATAGTAACTAGTGCAATAGCTGCAGACCCATACTATTCAACTTTAAATATCACTTCTATACAGATAAATTGTTCATTTTATTTGCAGCAAACATTGACCGTAACTAGCACTGATCAAACAGTTTGTCATTCTGAGCATGTCAGAGAAGCAAATGAAACCAGCACAGGAAACTATTTATGGGAAGGATGCTTGAGAAAGTATCACGGTCCCATACACCCTGCTTGATCACTGATCTTACTGAATTACCATAACTCATATTGAAACACTTTCAGGAAATAAATTCTGTAATATTTAACTCACTTTCAGATAGATCCGTATATTTATCTCACTTTCAGATAGATCCGTAGTAGTTTAAATTCACTGTCTTACAGGAACAGAAGACAGATGAATGAATTCCCATGAATACTGAGAGAGAAATGAAAGTAGGACAGCTACTGTGCTTAGTCATTACAATACTAGTTCTCCCATACATTTACTTTTTACATTTTTTACTTTTTTAAAAGCTAGAAGCTACATTACTGCACCTGTTGATAACTCACCTGTCCTTTCATAAGCACAGGTGTCATCCGGGTGGGTGGCAATTAAGTGTGTTTTTTAAGATAAAGACCTGAATTTACTCCCACAATGCTTGTTTTAGTAGGTGAGAAAGGAAGGTGCGGAGTGGGGAAGAGGCTAAGAAATGCTGTACTTTATTCTTAGCCAGACCTCTTTCTAGATTTTAAACACCATCTGAACTTACAAACTTGTTCATCTGCTGCAGTGAAGTACATACCTCAGGCTTGGTGTTTCACAATAAGTAATTCCTAAATATTAACTCTGGTGTTTCTGCTCAGTTTACTTCTTTCATTTGGCAAGGGCGAGTTGGGGAAGAAGATTAAAGGAAGGGACATGGAAAAAGAGGAAGCTGGGAGTGTCTTAAACAGGAAGAATCTTCACCAAATTGAAATGGAGTAGTTTAATGCATCCAGACTCAGATACATCATAAACTACACTGTACACTGATGAGAGATGTCAGTTAACTTAACAAAAAAGTGAATAGCTTACAAGAAATTCCTCCCCAGTAACACTTAACCAGTGTTATGCGTTGTCTACATATGACCTCTGCCCAGAAACCTTTCATTCTTCTCCCTAGTCTGATTGTATTTCGGGCATGATTGTTACTGGCCTTTCCCTGTTCTCAGGTAAAATTCCATGAACAAGTCAGACTGAAGGTATTAGAATGTAAAGATAATCTTCAAATGCCTCATATACTCAGCAAGTGACATTCCACAAATTGAGGTTTGTATCTGGAGGATGTATCTTTGCAGTCCTGGGTCAAATATGGAAGACAGCTTAGGGTCAGCAAGACTTCAGTGAATGATGACTTTGTTTCCCTGTGCAGCTAGAATGGCATAGAATGGATAAGACTCCTAACAGAAAATACTGTGTGCTTATTATATGACTGATGTATATGATCCAGACCTAAATTTGCTTATGGAATATTTCATTTGCTAGATTGAAACCAGGAGGAGAAGTGGACTTCCCCCCCCCCCAAAGTTAGCATTACCAGATTTTGATTTTGCTCTTTGCTCTCACTCCAGCGAAAGGAGCCAGAAAAATTCCCAATGAAAACACCATCAGACTGCAATGGCTACAGAATGTCTTACAGACAAATACTGTCTCAGTGTTGCACTCTTTTTTTTTTTTTCCTTCACTATTAGTTTTTAGAATCTGTTATTAAACCCTAAGCAAAAGACAAAGAAAAAATAATTTTTAAAAAGTTTTCAAGATTATCTTTACCTTATGTTCAGGTACTAACGGCAAAAAGATAGCTTAACTTTTGACGTGAGGAAATACTGTGCCTTGAAAATAAACACTGATTATAAGGTAAGCATTATTTTATCGGTATTTTAGTGGTAAAATAATGCAGGTCAAAGCGCACTCTGAATTGCAAGATTCTTTACTTGGAAGTACAGTAGCAACAGAATATATGGTGGGGCTCCTGTACAAATCTGCGGTTTTAAATATTGGATATGTTTTATTGCAGTGTATGAATCGTTGGATACATGAATGAAGTGGCAGTGGGCAGTTAAGAAACTTTTTAAGTCTTCCTATTTATACGAAGTCTGGGGTTCTAGGATTAGTTCTCAGTTATGTTTTACTTACAAAAACGTAAAAAGCAATACGACTATTAACTAGTTAAATGTTTACATACAACTTCTATGTAAGCATTTATGCACGTGAATGCCTCGCGTACAGAAGCAGATACAGCACGGCTCCATCCCCAGGCTTTGAAAAGGAGTCGGAGTGACCTACAAGACCCTTCTCTGCATAGTCTTTGCTCTGAAGCAGAGCAGAACAATTCCTGTGGCTCCTGTTGTCTCCCAGCAGTCAGTCAGCACCACAACCGGTTTCAGCGCGGAGTGCGAGACTGAGTATCCCGTCAGGGATTTACTCATTTTCACGGCTAGGTTCCCCGTCCTGCGGGACGGCTCCCGGTGTCGGCGTCCTGCTCCTTCTCTCGCACATCTCCTACGCCAGCGCTGCTCGGGTGAGGCGCTCCTGCAGGGCACGGGCACGGGCACGGGCACGGACGAGGAGAAGCGGCGATTGTTCCAGCTCCCGGCGCCAGCTGAGCCCCAACGTTTCTGGTGTCCGGTACACCTTAAAAGGCTGCATGCTGCTAGCTTGCAAAAGGCTTAACGAATCTCACCTGAGTCACTACTAACAGCACCGATTGTCGTAACCGCCCCCACCCTCTCCCCCACACTGCAGGTTTTACAGAAAAAAAAAACAACCTACTTTTAGGATGCCAAAACAACTGGGAGCTCTCAGCTGAATTTCAACCTTGCCACAGTTCCAGCCTCCGGGGAAGGAGCCAGCTGGGCTCCCTTCTCCTGGAAGGAAGCAGAGCCTTTTTTTCTGCCAAAAAGGGCAGTATAAAAGAGCGATCGCGGCAGCGCTAACGCGGGGCGGGGGAGCTC